TTTTTTACGCCATCCCACTCTCTTAAAGACTACCAACGTGACCGCACAAACCGCCTCTGTGGGCCCCTAAAGTTACTGGATCGCGTGAAAGTAGCACCAAGCTTTCCGTATGGTCGCCATTTTGACTCACCACAAATGAGCAATTTCTCCTTGAGCTCTCTATTCTTGGTGAGCTGAGCTAAATTGCGGTGTCGGTACTTGGAGGCATTGAAAAATAATTTTTCTGTTTTAAAATGCGCAAAAAGGACCATATAATTATAAGAGATCCGTGAAGATAAGCGTGATTGATAGGTTTATGGCATATACACAGTGACAAAGACGCTTAGGTTGGCGAAGAACGCCTTCAGAACGATTTTTCTCCGTGGTGATCTTGGTGCGACTGAATTCGAGCGGCCCTCTCGAAGCTTCGAATATTTGAACCGGCCAAAATGGCGATCACCTGTCAATTTTACCAAATTAACTGTAAAAAAGCGCGAATGTTGTGTTTGCGCATACAGTGGCCTGCAGTGTATCTCTGTCTTTCAGTTCGTTGTTTTCGATCAACGAAAACTTTCTGGTAGAATTTTAGTGATCGCACGCTGCGAAAAGCGAGCTCAGTAAACGCGTGCTCAAACAATGCTTTAACGTGACAGCACGAGCCTCCTCTAGCAAAACGAATCTCGCGTAATTCCTAATCGACGTCCCTATTATGGCAATCCTAAACCAGCAACTGTGTAAGAGAGGTTTCATCCTGGAGCGTCGCTAGAACTATAGAAAGCTATCCTGGACTCTCTCCTAGACGTTAATAATTTGATGGGTATTCATCGTTCTTTTTACACTGACCAACATAACTCGAGCACTATTATATGCTGCAACAAGTATTAAACAAGATACTCGACGAAAATTATTTAAGTTGCGAAACACCTGACTCATAAAGAATTTGGAGTAGTGCACAAAAGTTTCGCAATCTAATTTAATGATACTGGTATCCCTGCAAAACGCCTTTCCTACAAAATATATGAAGTAGTGTACAAATATTTTGAAATATAATTGGTTTACTTTTGAAGTTTCTTCCGCATTGCGTAATTACCATCGACTTCAGGAAGAGTAGGATGCTATATTTGCTAGCTACAGAAGCAAACAAAACAAAACTCGCAGTGCTATTTAATGCATTGCAGCCCCTGTACATAGAGTAGCATCACTGGTGAATATTCCAAGATGATATTTTTGTGTCCAATTAGTAAAAAAAATGTCACTCTATAGTCGCATCACTGAAATTGACATTTTCTGGCGGATTTATAATGCGCACCTTAGAAGCACCGCACCGTTTCACTATGAGCCGTAGTCGCTAAACCCGTAGCTCACAGTGTACAATTTTTTTATATGCAAAAGAATGACTGAAAAACAAAGAGCGCTCGCATATAGTAGTCATGGCACTTGCCGCTCCTTCTTTTAGCAGTATACCACAAACGCTGCATTCAGAGATGACTAAAGTCGTAAAATAAAAGTACACGGTGACACGGATAAGCACTGCTGTCTTTCTCGTGGTTGTCGATTTTTTCTTCACACTGTTTTCCATATCTGAAGCCTAGGAGCCCGTTCAAAGAGAAATGCAACTCTGGAAGGACTCTGCGCTTTGAGAGCTCATCCTCCTCCAAGGTGGTTTCCTGCCTTGTTCCAACCTCTCCTCAGAAAAAAGTTGGGCTATCAAACTTCCTGCCGTACCGGGCTTAAGCTTATAAGAGAAAATAACCACCTTGAGTCTTTTTCTGATGTCTCCTCCTCATTCCCTTCTATTTCTTCTTTTGTTGGCATTTCGATTCTAAATCTTTGGTCATGGCTCGTTTCCCGTTCAATGTTCGATCGTCTCCACTTCAACCTAGCAATTGGCAGAGCTTCGGGCTAGGATGTGCCGGTTTCTCTTTCCGTAGAAGTTTCCCGCGTTTAATTTTCACAATGTATTCAAGATAATGACTATAAAATATAAATAAATGATAAATGTAATGTAATATTTTGAGTAAAGTGTTTGAGATAGCACAAGTCTGGATACAACCTATCACAATATTATTTATTATTTCTTTATCATTCCCATTTGGTGTCAATTTTCCTTTTTTGATAGATCAATTTCGCACTAGTTTTATTAAACATATTCTCTTTTACTCTCACTAGTCTTCGCTGCACAATACTGTGCGGAAAACAGAAATGTCATCGTGTTCTGTTATTGTGTCAGTTTTCACCCATAACTTGTAATAATTTGAATATGATAGCTTGGTGATAAAGTGTGGTCTTTGTTGATAAGACTGCTGACTGGGCGAGTTGGTAGTTCATGTCGAATAGCGTAACAGCGCACAACTAGAGGAACACTCGCAAACTCAGACACAACAAAAAAATTTACACTCACTCGGCGCTGACTCAGAACCCTTGCATTTGTATTGTCTTCTATTTCTATGCAAGAAGACCCACCTCCTCTTTTTTATTCCCTAGGAAAGAGACGACGACGTCAAATGCAGATTACCAAAAAAGATCCCCAAAAATTGAGGAACTATATAAAAATAAATAAAAAAAATTAAAAAAGTAAAGAAAAATAAAGAATTTTCACTGCTGGTGCCTCGGAGAACTTTTGGTTAAATACTCCAGCTCCCTTTTCGAGAGAGTCAAAGAAGGCCTGCTGGCCCACTTGTCACTGTGTCCTTCGGTGCTTGCTGCCTCGATAATCTCCCTGGTTAGCTGACTGGGGCTCATTCCCAGCACAGTGCAGTTGCTAAAACGAGCCGAACACCCACAGTCCCTACAGTGCACTCACAGATGTCCAGAGTTGGCGTTGACGGCGTTGTTGGCATGCTCCCGAAGGTTCACACATCTACCAGTCTGCCCTATGTACACTCGCCCACAGGAAAGTGGGAAGGAATAAATTAGTCCTTCTACACAGAGAACAAAGTTGGTTCGGCGTTTTTTGGATCAACTTACAGTGGTAATTTAAGTCGAATTTGTCTTTTTACACAGGCTGTAGAGTTCTTGTGGGCCGAAAATACTACATCTACATTAAATCTATTCGCGGCCCTCTTAAGGCTATGACAGAACTTATGCATGTATGGAATTACCACCGGTCTTCTCGGCTTGTCCCCGGGGTTTTGATTCACGCTATCACCTTGCTTGGTCGCAAGGTTAAAGTCCACAGAATACCCTAATTCCTTATTGATGCCGGTTGTTGAAAGGCTCCTTAAAGAGATGAAGCAAGGTGATCGCGTGAATCGAAACCCCAGGGACAAGCCAAGAAGACCGATGGTAATTCCATACATGCATAAGTTCTCTCATAGCCTTGAGAGGGCAGCGAATTGATTTAATATAGGTGTATTATTTTCGACCCCCAAAAAACTCTGCAGCCTGTGTAAAAAGGTAAATTCGACTTCAAATACCACTGTAAGTTGCACCAAAAAGCACCGAACCAACTTTGTTCCCTGTGTAGAAGGAGTAATGTATTCCTTCCCACTTTCCTGTGGGCGAGTGTACATAGGACAGACTGATAGGTGTATGAACGACCGCCTTCGAGAACATGCCAACAACGTCGTCAACGCCAACTCTGGACATTTGGAAGTGCACTGTAGGGACTGTGGGTGTTCGGCTCGTTTGAGCAACTTCACTGTGCTGGAAAGGAGCCCCAATCAGCTAACCAGGGAGATTATCGAGGCAGCAAGCATCGAAGGACACAGTGACAAGTGTGTCAGCAGGCCTTCTTTAACTCTCTCGCAAAGGGAGCCGGAGTATTTAACCAAAAGTTCTCCTAGGCACCAGCAGTGAGAATTCTTTATCTCTATTTACTTTTTTAATTGTTAAAATTTAGTTTTAAATAATTCCTACATTTTCTAGGGGTTTGATTTTTGTAATCTGCTTTTGAGGTCGCCATCTCTTTCCTAGGGCATAGAAAAAGAGGAGGTGGGTCTTTTTGCATAGAAGAAAACAATACAAATACAAGAGGTGTGAGTCAGCGCCGAGTGAGTGTATATTTTTTTGGTGTGCGTGAGTTTGCGAGTGTTTCTCTAGTTGTGCGCTGTTATGTTATTCGACATGTGGTCTCTGTCCTTTATCATTTGGCATATTTAGCATGCATTCAACCTTGTACAGAAGGGTCAAAATTAGGGCGGTTATATCGCAGAATAAGAGACCACAGCCTATATTATGCGCGCATTTTTCAAGCAATATCGCCTTTTTTTATTTTTTTTAGTGAACAACTTATGTGTTTTTGATGAAACCGAAATACGATTACATATACACAAATACGCGACTCTAACGTCACGCAGCTGCGGTGGTGTTATTGTCGACGCAGCGCATGCGTAGACGGATACCTTCACAGGGGTTTGGTTCCTGCGCACCCGAGGCGCCCACAAGTCGTGTGGGCAAATGCGGACTTGTTTCTACACAGCGTGTCAGCATATCATCTGCCATAAGCAATAGCTTTGACGGTGTGTAAATAATCTGTTAAACGCTCGCCGATATCTTAATCACAAACAACAGACTTCGCTTGGCACGTCTCCAGCTCCGCGCGCAGTGCCCATACTTTGGTGGGGGCAAACGGGGACTTGTTTGTCAACGGTATGTTAGTCTGCAGAATGTAGGCATTGTTTAGGAATTCATAAATCTTGAACCTTGTCTTCGAAGCCTCGTAAGTTTTCCAGAACAAAGTAGAGTTACTATTTTAACTCTTGATTTTTAAACTTTTGTTTTCTCATACAGATATAAAAATGTAAAATACTGACAGTTTCAAAGCTTGAGCCTGCAAGGCTCTTTGCTGGCCCCAACAGAACGTTTTGTCGCGGTCAGGATCTGGCTAACGAGTCAGCTCATCCTGGAGCTATGATCGTAAAAACAAAATTTCGCAGCGTTTTATTCCATGAAATGTTTATGACAACGGAATCTAAATGAGGTAATGGAAACGCAAAATAAGCCAAGGACGCCGCGAAAAAATTATGACGAAAAATAAATAAGGAGCCATTTATCGCAATTTATATAGTAGTCACACTTACCAGGAAATATGAGGAGGCTCTGGAATGCCTTGCCTATGTTTTTGAAGAAGGAATTCACGGGGCTTTTATCGGGGTCCCTGTTATCGCACATTTCCAAGAAGTACTGCATTTCTTCCTGCGTCACTTTGTTAATGAAGCCTTTGGGAATTAAATTTAGAGTGACCTCAATAAGAGCCCTGGAAAGAAGTCATAAATCAAAGAAATTTGTGAAGTTTTTTTGTCTTCTTTATTTAAGTCAAAGTATTTGTTTTTGTTACGAATCGGTATGAGTAGAATACAGAAGTATATTTAGGCGAGGCTTCAAAGACTTTAGACAAAACAAAAAAATGCCTTCACGGATACAACGAGGTGAAAAAATAAATTCAAATAGTAATGCCTGAATTGCAAACAACATTTTTTATATGTTTATGCATTGTAATTTATCACATTAATGTGGCTAAGCGGTGCGTTGTTTTTTTTTTATGTGGAAAGAAAAACATGCTTCCATCAAAAGCTACAAATAGAAACCGAAATTATTCTAAGAATAGTTATAGAGTTTATTACATTCCACGAAAGCTTAAAAAAACAAAAAAAAACATAATACCTTGCTGATTCATTGCAGCAGCGGAACTGAGAAAAAGCAACTCGCAGAAAGTGAGAATTACTTTTCTTGCCACTTTTTTAGCATACAAAAGTGAGTTCTTTATTTTGTTGAAGTAGGTAATATTAACTTGAGGAGTACTAGTTCGGAATCTGTTGGAATCAATTTCTCACAACGATTAAAAAGCAGTCGCTGGCCTTATCAAGTGTTCGCGACTCTACTTTGCGATGAAACTTAATATTCCATCGTCATTGAACTTGGATGCATTTGCGATTGTATTACATTTGAAAGTATTGCCTAAATAGGTTAGTATAAAAAAATGCTCGGGTTATGGTTTTGGTTCGAAACTATGATGGTTCAATGTTAAACTATCATGCGAGGTTCATCTGCAGAATCTGTAATAGCCTAACTGGCCTAAACTAAATGCGATAGCGTAGTTAATGAGTACAGTTCTCAAAGGAGAAGCATGCATTCTTCAATTAGTTTTTTTTCTTTCTTTTTTTTCATAAAACATATTTACTGTATTTTCCCTCGCCTCAAGAAGTGCCGTAAAACAGTTCGGCTGTTTATGAAGCTTTAGTATGTTTCCCCTTGATTCAGTGATTAAGAGGCTTTATAGTATATTTAAGAATATTTATTGGTCGTACAATTAAAATATGCACGTTTTAAGGTAAAATGAATATAATCTGACAACCAAACCTTGCAAGATCCACTTACCGCAGCGTATGAACTCCTCGCATAATTTGAATGATTTTTATTTAGGAAACAAATATGTAACAAGATTTTGCGTTCGACAAACTTTCACTAGCCTCAAGCTTCCGGAGCTTTTGAATTTTCTTATTAAATGTCGTCGTATATCGGCCTCGATCCGATCACAATATGTATGCCACCCACTGACGTGGAATCGTGTGCAATACCTACTTATCACCGATGATATTGCAGTCGAATACGGTATCGCTGGTGGTGTCCAGAAACATCTCGACCATCCTGTGACCACCCTGGGTGACATCAGTCAGGACCCTGCGTCGAACGCCTAGGATTGTGCTGTGAACAGTGAAAAGCAACAAGCGATGAGAACCTCGGTCTGAGCAACGTAGAGCCACTAAAGCAGCTACGCCACGCAGCAAGGTGACTTCAGCCACCTTGGTGCTCAAACCTAGAAAAAAGTAATTGGTGACAGTTATCTTAAGCTTCATCGGCATTCGCAGAAAACGATCTTACATCTTCGAGGACAAATAGAACAGCCCGCGACAAGAAAAAAAAACTATATCGCCCGAGTTTTATGACACTGAATCTGAAAGTCGCAGTCTCGGACGGTAGCGATCGCCGATAGAACTTATTCATATTTGTGGCACCATCTACCAAGCTTCAGCCTGCCTGAAAGATTGTGGCGCGCCATCCTTGTTTTGAAACGCAATAGGAGGTCCCTCGGAATGTGATGCATCTAATAGCAGTGACGCATAAACTTAGTAAAAGTGTCACTGGTCAAACCGAGCGCCTTTGATGCACCACACCACTCCCATAGGGATCCCGAAATTAACTCATTTGCCGCAAGTCTCTGAAAAATTCGCTCCTTTAATTTTTTTTTTGTTTTTTACGCGAAATGTTTTTATATCTAGCCAGGCTCAGCCAGGCTTATGTCAGTTCTGACTTCTGCAACCCTCCCGAACACCAGCGCCCTTTACGGTGTAACCGCGAAGCTACGAGTATGTATAAAGAACTCCGAAATTTGTGGAACGTGTTTTTTAGCTCTTTCGTTTTCTTTAATAATACCTTTCGCTAGTTTGGAAGTTAGATATTCAGCGTACGCCCAATAATTGGATACTGTGATCGTTTTCAAAAATTGTAAAAATGTCAACGAGCCATTTTTTTTTTTAGAGCAACGGTTATTATGATTTTGCAATGCCTCGTTCAGAATTGGGTCGAAACGCAGACGAAGAGGCCGCCTTTTTTTAAAACTTAAAGCCCAGCACTTCCGACAACGTGCCGATAGGCGGCGCCAAAATTGCAAAAGGTCTCTTGCATCCGCTTTGCACAAGGCACCAGAATGGCCGCGCTTACAGAAAATCGGGGTATGGAATGTTCATACGTTAGGTGGGTAATTTAATGGCTCTAAAGTAACCTGCTCAACGAAATTGCACGTGCATTTATATCACAGTAACTATGGCATGTTTGCACTTTTCTTTTGGTTTGCCCCGTGATTGTTTTCACGTGTTAGTACTAACTGCCAGTTCAAGCATTTAGAGGTGATTTGTTTCTGGTTTTCACTAAATTCATGTACTAAAAGGTGAAATATTTTTTTTCTCCAGAATATTCCACCACTGTGGTCCTGGAACCCCTCCCCCCCCCCCCCTAATTCATCCCTTTTTCCCCCTTACATGTAACAAATTTCTTGTGTCTATTTCTGGGTGGAGTGATATTGAACTTCAACTTTCAACAGAACGAAACCGTCATGAAAGACGACATACAATTAAATATAATTCGCACAGATTTTTTTTAAAAGTATGTGAGAGCTAGACGAGTGCATTTACTCACAGTGTACTTATCAGGCTCGTTGGAAATTAAATGAAAAAAGAATCGTCACCTGAAGTTGACTAATGAACTGAACTATGCTTGTTCCCTTTTTTAATATTCAATTTGGAATTATATAGCAATTGCAGTGTTTACGGCAATTACATTTCAGGCTAGATTTAAAAAAATGCAAAAAAAAATTTAAAAAATTGTTCATTTTTTGCAATATTTTTTACTGGGTTTAGAAATTGCTAACAAAAATGTGGCCCAAGCCCTGCCATTAATGACGCTTAGAATGCTGACGCAGTTTCAGCCCCGTCGTCACTTGTATCGTCTCCGCACTCACCAAAGTACAGCGTTACTAGATTAGGTCAGTTGTGGAACTTCCGTTGACGGTGTATCCCGCCCCGCCCTTACTCATCTCTGTCCACCTCCCGTAGGGTGTCTCGATGCTTGCGCCACTTCCAGGGTAAAACACCCCTTGACCTCCACAAAGGGGTCACTCTGACGTGGCAGGGCCATGTCGGGTCCTACATCCTTTGGAGTGTGTGGTTGTAAATCGTGGGCTGAAAATTTGCGTTTTTAGCGTATCCCGCACTACCTTGGCTCAAGACAGAGCGGAAAAGAGCAGCTCAAAAATTTGACCCGATATGGCAGATATTTCCACCCCCGTTTTTTGAAGCGCTGCCTAGATTGTCACTGCGAAACTATGAATTCCATTAATTACGGTGAAACTCCATCTAGATGCTCTACGCCAAAACATATGCATTTGCAGGAAACACTGAAGTTACCATAACAGCAACCCTGAAACTGGTGGCGCGCCGAACGACTTGATGCCAGCTCTGCGAGAGGCGAGCCGTGTGGAGCGCCTATGGGCTTTTCTGTAACCGAGTTAATCGAGTAACTTTTCCAAAGACACGCTGTCGAGATAGTCACGGTATGATTGAAACGCCAACGTCACTCTTATAAGCGTCATTGCGGGTCTAGTCTAGCGGTGCTTTTTCTGAGGGCATTTTTTTAATGTGCGAGAAAACACGTAAATTTATTCATGAGTTTCTAAAAAATGCATACCTTGCGCGAAGTTTTTAAATTGATTTGGCTTCTGATAGTAAGTGCCGTTAATACAGCAATTCGCAACATGACCCCTAAACTAATAATTAAAAAAGATAATTAACATACGTTAGCTAATGAGCCAACTTATCATTACTATTATATCCTTCTTGAGTGTGCACCGAGAGTGATAAACACAGAATGAAGGTGGCGCTAGTCTAACTCTTGCACCCTTAAAGAAAAATGCGTTCTAATTGAAGTCAAACGCCCTGTATTTTTTCCACCAAAAGCATACAAGAGTAGGGTTCATGTCGTCCCCCTATTTGAAGTCTATTTAAGCCTATAATATCTACCAAAGACACCTTTCCTTACTTCAACCATGTCCATGAACGAATGTGTTTATGATATGTAACGTAAAGAAATTCTGTAAAAACACCTGTGCGACGTATTACGGTATTAAGTTATGCAGCCGCTAGAGTTAGCGCGTGAGGTATACATGGTAGCGTTTTTCAGAAGTAAACCGGAGGAGGGCGACAAACACTCGTTCTCCTTACAATTATGCCTGCCGGAATGTGTCTGCTGTTCTCTGCAGCACTTTGTTCAATGCTTTCAAATGCCTCTGCATATACAACCCCACACCACACATCTAAAACACGGTCTGTGGACTTTTGTCTAATAATTTAGAAAATGAGAAGGATAAGAATTGTGCCTGAGTGGTCATACACCGGTGACGGCTTTAAGATGAGCTAGTTGCTTCATTAGATTTGACGGAGCCAGCTGAACGTAAAGGAAAAACACACAGACACAAAAGAAAAACAGACAACTGGCCTTTACAGTGTACGAGGGTTTTTTGTATTCCTCTTTCGTGTGCAGCTGGCACCATATGCAAGTCATGTATCCACAGTGGCTAGAATAGAGTCTGGCTAAAACACCAGAAAACTGGTCGACCACCTCCATAACAAACTGATTAAAGAAAGCCCTGTGACTGATTAAACATTGGATTCCACTTTCAATTTAGTTGTTCAATTATCCAAATTGCTAAAATATTTTGTATGCTGAAATGTTAACGAATTTTAATGAGGCCAGAAATTATACAGAGAATTCAGGGCTACCACTTTGGGGAAAGAGCCATAAAATCGCACTGAAAATAAAACTACAATGAGGCATCTAAAAAAAACATATTCAATGCCGATCGACTGCAGCTACTAGTCAGTTAGGATTCAGTAATAACACAGTAATCAGTTTTTTTTCTTTAACAAAATAAAATTAATCTCACTGACATTTTTATAGCGTGATTGGGAGTAAACTAATTCCTTTATCATTTGCATCAAAACTGGAAGTGATCCCCTTAGCCTTGATGGTCCTGAGATAACCTCCACTGTCAACTTACATGTCCTTAAACCGTCTGGCGATATCCGCAGATGAGGCATTCGTCAGTTTTCCAAACGTGTTGTCCCATGTCTTGACGCCGTTTTTGATTGAGTTCCGGCCGGATGCTGCAGAACCGGGGGAATCCAAGGATCCCGAGGATCCCAAGGATTCCAAAGCGTTCGAAGCCCCCTGAAGTCCGAGGGTCCGTGTAATTCCGCACACAATAAGGCACGCCAAAACGCATGTCCTCATGATGACGAAAAGAAAGTCCTGCAGGGTCGGTCATACAGCTGTTTGAATGCAGGAATCTCAGAAAAAATGGGAATTTCTTAACTCCTTACCTAGGGCTTCACAATCACCTTTAATATTAAAAAAATGCCAAGTCTTGGTAGTCAAGGCTGGTAGAAATACTATGAAAATGCTAACTCTAAGTATAACTTCTGAACCTCAAAGAGGCTATGTTGTCTCTTAGCGAGACAAAAGTGGCAATGCGGCGAGGTGACTGTTGGTCGCAGAGGAAACGCACAGTGCGCAAAGGAAGACGTAGCACCAGTTGAAATAGAAGCAGACGAAACAAGTGCTTATTCATGCCTAACATTTATTTACAAAAATAAAACAGAAACTCAAAGGCAGAAAACAGTCACACCTCGTCATGTCCATAAACGCTATAGACCTTTTGAAGCACAGTCGCCTGGCCAATGCCATTTCGAAATGACATGACACGGTCGCGACAACGTGGCCTCAGCTCGTCGCTCTGATCTTCCAACCGTGCCTTAAGAAAATCGTTTTCTTTGTCTTTACCGTCGCGTTTCACAGCAGTGTTTTTACTTTATTTTGTACAATTTCGTCTGATACATATATTTTCTAAATAATCTAATTATATCATTATGGTTCTGACTTCTGCTGTAAGCATTGAAACACGTCTTGACTATTTTCACAGGTGGCATATGCCACCTGAGCCACCCGCTTTTGAGAAGCGAAGTGGCTCAGAACCAGCGTTGGACTTGGCGCACATTGACCCAAAATTACTTATGACAACTCATGTCTGGTCCGTCATAGTCACAAGACATTCGAAATAACAAACGCAATCCGCAGGGTGTTCTATAGGCTTTTTTTAGTTCTTATAGATGTATTTGTAGAAAAAGCCGTGAATGTTACCCTAAAGCGGTCTGTGTAGGTGAGATATACGCCCAGAGGGCATAATATAGTGTGCTAATCGTCCCAATAAGGCGGCTTTTTTAATTAAGATTGCTCATTAACACCTTAATAACTACAAAAATACATATTTTTAATTAATAACTTGCACAGCATAGTTTGAAACTACTAAAAGAGTAAATCTGAACAACGTGGGAAGGAACGTGGGAAGTGCAGTGGACCGCTAAAGTTACCACTCGTGCCGCAGGCGCAATACCTTTTGAGATAATGCGCCCGAGCGGTTTTCCCATCGCTTATCGTAAGTGTTTTCTTCCCGATTGTCTTACGCCTGTTGCACATGTGATAACTTTAGCGCACTATTGCCCCTCCCCCTGACCTCTTTCTATAAATGACTAACTTAAGGGTATGCATTGACGCTAAGCAAGTTTCTAATCGGAACTATGTGTTTATTTTCACTAAAATGAGTGCAGTGAAGAACTCACTTTTCTTATTATTCGACTTATCATTACTAATATACCAATATATTAAGTCCTCCTGGCCGTATAACTCGTCTTTAGTGAAAGATTTAGTGAAGCTTTCACGGCTTTTTAAGCAAATCAGCAAAGCCTAAAAAGTAACCTGCATATTTATGATTGCGCTTCAAGGAAAATTACAAAAAATGGTCAGCGAAAGGAACAACTACGTGTGTTTCCTTAAAGCATCGTCTTTGCCGAGAAATAGATTTTGATTATATAAGAAATGCGTGGAGATACCTAACGAACGTTGAACTTGTATCTTATCTGATTATAGGAATAATGGCAAAGACAACATAAGGCTGTTTGTTTGTTCATAATATTATACAAAAACATGTTATACAATCTTAATAGTCTTTGCGTTCTAAGCAATCGTTTGATCTGTTTATTTATGCATTTAAAAATCAATCCCAAATCTTTAGTAATTCAAGAGTTTTAATGAGTTTCTTATAATATACAAATCACTTAGTGCATTTCACTTATTTCAACAAACAAATCAAGACTACGTGATGAAAATAGTTTCACAGGCAGCTTGAGAGTGCGATAAAGCCCGCGATACGTGATTGAAAGATGGAGCCGTCTGCATCGTAATCACCCGAGTGCAGCATACTCGATGTCCGAACGCGATTTGCTTTTCGTGCCTATACGCCGAAATGTACGAACAGCATCCATTTCAATAAAACCTCTGGAGACAAGTTCATGAAGTGGTGCTTAGAATTCGACTTCAGCCAAACTTGCCAGATGTCACTTACCTAGCCCCTTTCATTTGGAAAGTTTACACAATTCTAAGGTCAGACTTCAGGCTGACACTAACGCACCACACAATGCGAAGGTAAGTGCCCCTCTGACGTAGATCAGTCATGTTCACGCGCACTTTTATCCACATAGCGAACGTTTTTTTTGTCGGCGAGAATACTCTTCCGCAGGTAAGTGGGAAGAACAAACCCTGTCAAGGCCCACATGAGTAACCTTTAATCGAGATGTCTGCTGTCATCACCAGGCTCCTAGGAACGTCCTTCTTTAATATCTCCCTACCACGACCTACCTCGTTTCTGGCAAAGCAAAAAAAAAATCCTGCAATTAAAAAATAATATTTCATTTACGTTCTGGCAGCTAGAAAATAGGGAAAATGTTTAGTGGTATATTTAAACATGCTAGGTTGATTTCCCAACCAACCTTATGCATAAAGAAATTGTGGAAGAAAGGTTTACTACATTTGAAGCACAGTTTAATTTTTAAATTTTATTATTATTAATTATTTAATTATTAACTTTTCGTAATAAAAAGAGCGTTATTTTATTTTTTTAGTTATGGTTTGCTTGTTTTAAGATATTGCATAACTGGCAAACGAAGCGGAAGGTAGATAGAAATCTCAGCACTCTAATTTGTTTAAACTGCCGCTATCTCTTGTCCAGTGGACGTTCGCCTGCACTTAATGGTTTTTCGTTGTTGTTGTTCAATACACAATACTTTTGTAAATATTTGTGCAGGAAAGGTTTCACGGAATTTAGCCACAACAAAGCAGGCGTGATTTAAATCATGATTTAATTCATGGTTTAAAACCCATCGATTTTTATGATGAACCCTGCATTCTGGCCTGTTAACGTTCAAGTACAGAGCTCATTCTTTCATTGCAATCTTTTGTTTTTGTTTTGGTCGTTTATTCCACATCGGTGACCGACAGCGTGAATGATATAATGAATGTGTGTAACATAAAGTTTAAGTAAAATCTGAGACAATTTTCTAAATGATGCTTAATAGTAGGCGGGAATCACAGTCAGTTAAACAACATTTAGTGAATTGTCTCACATTATGCTCAAGCATTATTTTACACAGATTGTTTAGACCATCAAAGATGTTTGTTGCCGACGTGAAGCTAAGCACAAAGATAAAAAAATGATACTCCACGGTCATTTTTATTTAATGTTTGGAGTTCGAGAAGATTGAGAAAACTAAAAAAAAAAAAACTTTACTCGCGTGCTTTCCAAGTGACAAGGAGCTTATATGAATGCTTTAATGTTTTCAGTGATCGTATAGTTGTTCCCTTTCGCAGAAAAAGTCTTGTTCATATCGCAAAAGTTGTTACTCATGATGAAATATACAGAGTGTTTCTTTTAGGCTTGACAGATTTCTTTTAAAAAAAGCCTTGAAAGCTAAACTTATTCGGGTTGTGCAGGTCAGTTATCCGGCCGGAGGGACATGGTGCTGAGGGCTAATCGTAACGATCAATCAAAAAAGTAACATTTCGTAATTATTTTTTGTAATTATTAAGAACAGTCATATTGTTCTAATTAGAAACTTCCTGCGCGTCATAAAAACACTTAATCAAATTTTTTTTGTATAAATACTTTGATTGCGCCGGAAGTGTATTTGTGGGCTAAAGGTACCACTGGTGCAGCAGGTGCATGACTGTGGCTATAATAAAAGACGGAAGAATCGCACGGGCGCGTTATCGCGCGGTAGTCTTGCTCCTGCAGCACGAATGGTAACTTCACCGCACTAAGGCCCTTCTCACGTGCTCGACGTATTTCTAAGAATTGCTGATTTATTGGTTTTCGATGACGTTGAGCAAGTTTCGAATTGAGACCAAATGTATATTTTCACCAAATGAAGAGTTAATTATTAAATGTTACTTAATTAGCCAACCGGTTGTTACGATTATGCCCCATACTATGTCCCCCTGGCCGTGTGACTCACTTGCACAAACTGCACACGGCTTTTTTTAAACAAATCTGTAAAGCTTAAAGAAAAACAGATTGTATAGATCTCAGCGACGCTGATATAAACATAAAGTAGTTTTCTAAGCAAGTCAACATATCAGCGATTTCCCTACACACCCCTGTGTGTGGGGGGGGGGGGAGGGGGTGTACACTTCCCTTATTTTTTTGACGGCCTCCCTATAATTCGTAACGACTCCTTTATTATCAATACCCCTCCCCCTAACCCCCCCCCCCCGCAAAAATTTAGACACCCCCTCCCCCTAATTTCATTTCCTGTGGAAACCCCTGCAACAGATACTTTTGACTTACCTTAATAACTTAATAACAAAAGAGAAACTCAACATGGAATCAACTCATTCCAAATGGATGGTAAAAAGACTACTTTCCAGTGACCACGCGAATATTAAACCTCTTGTAAGGCCACGCTCGTTTCAATGTTTAGCAACTGATTTTCTTGTATATCCAAAAATTATATAATATTACCAGAAAAGTTAAATTTCAAAAAGCGTGTTACTTGGGGGGAGAAGAATACCAGAAGAACACGCAAAATATAGTTATTTAGCTAGAATGCATGCTTGCATTCTCGACAATCCAGGTTATATGCTTTTGTGCCCGAAACTCTCGTGCTTAAAATTCGAACCCTTCTCTCAACAAAAAAACACGAGTACGGTGCATTGTCGCGCTTTACTTCAAAACGGTGCTGATGGGCATTAATATTTGTCACTTAGATTGGTGCAGGAACTATGCACTTTCGACCACTACAGTAGTTCTGATGACAGTCCTTCGATTCTTAGGAAGAACAACGGAGAAGACCGGCCATGGCTTGTTCGCGTTAATGGTGTCGTGGTTTGTACATGCATGTCCCTGTTGCGCCGCACCTTGCTGGTTCATGCGGAAAATTTGTCCCTTATTGCAAAAGTTTTATTACGTTCTGTATACCGCAAAAAGAAATAAATTGTTTATGGGTAAAAAGTTTAAGACGATTACAAACATGATCTCAAATACGCTTTCAGCAGGGTATCCATGTGTTACATTAAATATACGTGTCTTAAAAATGAAGTTTGGATAGTAGACTGAGTTGTCGGTTCTGAAAAGCAAGAAGAATTGCCGGAGGTGGATGAATCGGCAAGACATTATTACTCTGCTTTTGAAGTCAAGTAATAAATTACGCTCACCTACGTAAGTAGTAGCACTCTGTCGCTTGAGTCAGTGCAGTTAAAATATGCTTGATAGACTTCATGCTTCTTCTCGTTAAAAACTACTCTTCAAGGAGTCAGAAAATACTCGTTTAGCTTTAGCTTCTTACCAATTTTTCACGGTTACCAAACAGTTGTAGATAAAAATATATCTGGCCCGCAGACTTCTCGCACTATCGAGGTTTAAGAGTTACTGTTTTTCTTTAAAAGAAGAAAAACACATTTAAACCTGCATATAGAAAAGAAATGTTAACAATGCACATAAATAATTTCTACCGCCTTGCTATGCACCAAGGGTTGGTGATAAGAAAATAGTTTTTCATTGGCCCGGTCATGAAATTCCGCAGCATTATATTGTAAGTTAAAAACGATAAAGTAAGCCATATTTGGAACATACGTAAACGTAACCTCCTCGTTGCATTTTCTTGACATTATAAAATACTCGGTATTGAAGAGCATGAAAAAAAAACGAAATATCTTAGGTCGACCAGTAAAACCATTTGCAAAAATGACAACACCTAAAGCAATAGCAAGTTTAATAGCGGGTTTGAGAATGCCGCACACAAACCTTTGCTTAAGCAGGGAAATAACGTAGTCTCGATGCGTCAATCCAAAACGCTATTTGGGCCCGTCGGAAGAGCACTATTCACGACGCTAGGTAGTCCTTTGCGATCGCAAAGTGCACTATCCTTACACTGGCTGATGTCTGACCCTCTTTACATTTTCTCCGAAGTGTTTATTTTCAATATTAGGAGAAAAAACAAAACAAATGAAACGTCGACAATATTCATCCACGGATCTGAGCATGAAGTAGAATACGTTTTCTGGGAGAAATAAAAACATGAACACTTGTATGAACTTACATGTATACATTAATAGACCGCATGCAAACACATGTTTCGATTGGAAAACTCCCACAAATTAAACCGCCAGCAGTGAGGTACAATAGGTCATTAATTACACACCCCAATTCCCCTTTTTTTCTTTTGACATTTATTTATTAGAATTGTTTACATCATTTAAAAATAACTCTAGTGCAACTTGTAAAAATTAGATTCTAAATAAAACAGAAAGATATACCATAATCCGCACGGAGGAATTCGAAAATGAACATTCAGCGGCACGTTTCGGGTTTGAATAATGACCACCCAAATATACATTCCAATAGACTTGGGGCGTCTACCTTCCCGCAAGGCATCTAGGAGAGCCAATCGCTGCAATCTACAAAGAGGGCTCGGTGACTGACGAAGGTGATAATCTGTTTAGACATACAAAAATAGTATGCGCTGTGAGAACATGACGTTCCACTTTCTTACACAATGCTCGGTGTCACGGCACAGACAGTTTTTACATAAAATCCTGCGGTACATTGGAAACTCCAGTAAATATAATCTGCCATTAGACAGCTTTAGCCAATGACAAGGAAGAGCTCTTACAACTTTTGCCGCAGAAAGAGCATCGCTCCTGGAGAACGATAATCGTCGCATTCGCTGAACTTTATACAAAAAGCTTATCAATGATTGATGCTCAGCGAGCAGGACAGTGTAACGGGATTAAAAAATCACAATACTTTTAGTTACCTTAAGTTATATAGATTAAATTTATTTGATATAAATCAGAACAATTTGGTTGAAATTACTGTAGTTTGTAATTAGTTTCTATGCCCCTATAATTGTCAACATCACAGATTGATTCATCAATTTGTTTGATCACTAGAAAGAAAGCGGGAAAAAATTGGTGTGAACGTAACGTATAGAAAAATTAACAATCTTTATCGATGTAATCCCCGCGATACTGAAAAAATACAGCTTGAGTTTTCTTTCAGTTGGTTACAAAGATATGTATGTGTTTATTCTCGCTCTGACTTGTTCCAATAGTACATTATTTTTTCTAGATCTTGTTTTTGCATTTTAATTTGGTTGCAGTAGGATGGTACCTTGCTGACAAAAAAGGTGGAAATTATAAATCAAGCTCAAGGCTCCGATTTCCTCAGAGAGTCACTTCTTTTTGCTTGCGTTTCTTTCTTGCTAGGTGACTTTTTTTTTAATACATGGAACGCATTAAGTGAGACACCAACGGCTGGAACGGTTTGATTTAATTTATGATAGTAAAACTGGTTTTATTTGAATCGCAATTTACGTCATGAATAAAAATGTATTCAATTTCATTTTCCAGGCGGCATTCACGGGACGCCATATTTGAGTGACCTGCTTAAATCACATGCTCATAACGAGATCACAGTAATAGGTTACTAGGACCGGAAATCTTGATGGTGTGGAATGCACGTTGCGAAAGTGCACGCGCTCTGCAGTCGCGCACACAGCTATGGCCGCCAGTGAATGCTCCCTATAAGGAGTATTCACTGGCGGCCATAGCTAAGTGCGCGAATGCTGAGCGCGTGCTGATGGCGAGCTTCCACAGTTCTTTCGCAACGTGCACTCCACACCATCAAGAGTGCCGGTCTTAGCAGCCTATTGATGTGAGGTCGTCTTGAGCATGCGCTCTAAACTGCACCCACAAATATGGCGTCTAGTGAATTAGTGAATACTCCCTATACACGATGGCAAGCATGGGGACTGGCTGCCGCAATGACTTTGCCCCTTGCGGATAAGCTCGTGGAATTGCAAGCCTGCCGAAGCTACCTTCACATGCGAGCTGCACGTGTTTGCACGGATGGGTTCCCGGTCGGGGCGCCATGCTTGCAATTGTCCATTCGTAATATACTCTGGATGCAATATTAAAGTCTGTTAATCGCAACACATGCTCACAACGAGCTTACACTTACCGACTACAAAGAATGGCAATCCTGAAGGTGTGGAATGCACGTTCGCTCTGAAAAAGTATTTGAGCTTTTGACTTGAAAATAAAAAGCGAGCTCGTCAAATGATGGGGCCGGTGAAACGTAATCATCTAAGGAAGAAATCTGCGACTTAGCTCTGCGCTTGCGCACTAAAACAGTCAGTATGCCCGCTTTCACGTTGAACACAAGGGGGAACCAGCCACTGGAATCTACGGAGGAAGCTCGGTGAATGATAAAGCTGAAAAGCCGTTTCGACTTGAAAACAACACCCGCGCAGTGTTCTTGTGTTCACCAATATTTCACAGGCCAATACATCGCTCAGAGTTACAGCGCATATAGCGTGTTGTTTTTTAGTCAAAAGGTTTTCTGAACCCTGTCGTTCGCTCCTTTAGTGATGTGTGCAAAGGTAAACGCACAGACGTTTCTAAGTTAACATTAACTTTTTTTAACCCGTCAACAGAAAGGAAACAAACCCAGAAACAGGTATTTGTGCTCGCACACATGTCAAAATGACGAAAAAACATACCGGACAGAATACGTACGTTGTTTAAAATCGTATACAGATGGAGGATGATCCGCTAGTGTGTTTGCTAAAGTTGATCACTTCGCCTTTTTATATGTTATTAACTCAAAATCGAATACGGAGCGGGGGGAGGTTCTCGACAGTACAGGATTCGTGGGTCATTATCAAGATGTCATAATTGGGGAAGGGCACTGAGATATATGAAATGCGTCACCAGAGTATTCGCACTTCATTCGTTCGTCAGAAAAAGCTTTCTCGAGAGGAAAGTAAAAGCGTACGGGCAGCTGAATTAGGGAAAAGATAAATTCAATATTGCGTCACCACGTGTCAGCCGCGATGTCACCTGTTGTTTTTATCTCATCGCAATCTGGGCCCGCGAATTCCGACACACGCTTTATTTCTCAGAATTCGCAAGATAACGCATTTCTCAACGTGTTATCTTGTCCTTTTACTACGAATGGTTTCTACAGATAAGTCGATTGCGTGCCGCGCGCGCAGCTACGTTCCCATGCCATTCTCTTTTTTTTGCGTGGGAAACTTGGCAAAAGTTATATTGCGAAATTAATCTCATATGGCGCGCGAAAAAAATAGTCCACAAGAAAACGGCAAGATATGTCAAGATGCTTCCAACGCACCAACTGCACCTAAAACCACTACATATAAGCTACGTTTCAGTGTAAGAACACTTATTTCAGCCATATTGGTGCGCAAATTCATTGTTGCCATGTATCTCAAACTTCATCTGAAATCGTAGAAAATGCTTTTCTGTCATCCGCAAATGTTAAAAGAGTTCGTGGCAATGCAAAGCGATATATTGACACCGTAATGTCTAGATTTGAAGAAGTCGCATTAAAGAATTGTGACAATCGCCAATTGCGACCGCTCTGCACTAAGCATCAAAATGGCGGCGGCTGCAAGGAAATCTGGGAATGGAGTTCCGATACTCCGAAAATAGCCTGTTTAGTGTATCTAATTGCACAGTCATTTTGAATTTGAAAAAGGGAGCATCTGTCAGAGGATGTACTGCTGCGAAACACCTTCTGTGCGAACAAGCGATCGATTTTCAGCGTATACGCAGGGGCGGATGCCTGTTTTCAGAGAGGGGATGGGGGTCGCTACAGCTGGGCCCCTCCTTTTAATCCGCAATCGTGTGTGTGTGTGTGTGTGTGCGTGTGTGTGTGCGTGTGTGTACGTATGTGCGTGTGTGCGTGTGTGTGTGGGGGGGGGGGTGTTTTAGAATCAAATAGCCATTAGAAAACATTAATTTGTCGGAAACTACTAATTTTGTTGCTCTGTCCTCAGCGCCGATTGAGCTTTCACTCCAACAATTTTGAGAAGTGTTTATGGCGCGCCACTGTTTCACGAGTGACCGCCGTTTACACTCTGCGTTTTTTTTTTTTTCTTTGCGCGAGCAGTTTATCGCCGTTTTCTCGTCTTTTTTTGTCTATACAGGGGTTTTCATTTAAACTATAGTCGGTGAATATAGTGACTATAGGTGGCTTATATATTGCCTGTGTTGAATTCCCAAAAAAAAACGGAGGAAAAGAAAAGAAAAAAAAAACTACGTCTTCACGATTCTTTAAACGATCTTTCACTGCTTCAAGTACAAAAAGCAGGAGAGAAGTGTTCTGACAGGCGCTAACCCAACCGTTTAGCGTGTATCACGAAGCGCGTTGCTGGAGACCACCCAGCCACGTTTTGTGTATTGTCCGATCAAATTACGTATCGAAAAAAAAAAAACATTTAGACCTCATTGTCAATGGCTGTAGGAGCATCTTCCACGAAAATATTAATTCTGCGTCCTTCCCCGGACGCGCAATTGTATTTTAAAACAAGCGTGCATAAACGACACTTTCCTTCTCCATGTACAGAGCAGCGGAGACTCTGACGTAACGTAAGGCAAAGAACGCGCCGACCTGAAGCGCCCTTCGCGTTTTGTCCTCCGCGTGAGCGCTACGCCGTGGTTCACCCTCGTTGCTGCGCTAGATCCTTTCTTTTTCTTTTTTTTTTTTTTTTTTGTGCGTGAATAAAAGGGGACTTTCGTTGTGCGGTTGTCACGCTCCACACTTGTGCGCGAGATTTACAGTAGCGAGTAAAATGTAACGTTGCGTTGTATCTTGAGCACTGTGTTCCCACGGAAGAACGACGCATAGGATCTGACCATTGCAAGCCTGGTGTGACAGCATGTCAGGCATGAAAAGCAGCCTTTGATACTTCCGAAATATGACATTGAGTTTTGTGTAATTATCCGTCATTTTTTACAGTAAACTGTCGTGTCGTTTATTCCACCAAAATTGGACTATATTAATATTTCGGCTCTCACCAGGTAACCATCACAGTATCTTAGGAACTTCCGGTTCTCACCGGACAGTCCATTTAAGGAATAAAATAACTCCCAATCAATGAGTCCACAGCGTGCGATTCGGCCTTACATGCTGCCCAGTCTTCGCAAGGAATGACAAAAAGACAACACTGCCAATGATTGCACATGGTTTAAAAAAAAACCGAGACTGCGGGTAAACGACATTTTTGAATCATGTGCAATCATTGGCAGTGTTGTCCTTTTGTCATTCCTTGTGAAGACTGGGCAGCATGTAAGGCCGAATCGCACGCTGTAGACTCATTGATTGTGAGTTATTTTATTCCTTAAATGGATTGTCCGGTGAAAGCCGGAAGTTCCTAAGATATTGTGATTGTTACTTGTACGAGTGTTCTTCTCTCGAGTGGGTATATTATGTTATTTTTGTTTGTGTACGAGTGTACTTTTCCTTGAGTGGGTATATTTGCATTGTTTCTTCTCTTTAAGTAAATATGTACGAAATTTCTGGTTTGAATATTTTGTCAAAAACGTGTACTCCTCCCTCATACAATTCCCAAAAGGGCGCTTTGAGATGGGTATATCGAATAAATAAATAAATAAATTTTGCCGATAAAAGCTAAAGCTCTAATTCTTTTTTTCGTTCTGCGGTGCATTTTCTCAGGTTAACCAGTTCCTGTTAATGCCGTAGCACTGTGCACACTGCGTCCCCGCCTTGATTCAGTTTCGGTACTGCCGGTACTCCGAAGCTCAGTGCTCCAAACAGCCTCTGTGATTTCGGTTTGGATGGGTTGTGCAGTGGGGCATATGGGAGCTCATAGCCGACAGCACCAAGACCATCGAGTTCAGCCTTGTTCATAGAGGAAAGCAAAATCACCTCTCGTTTAATGGCCAGACACGGCTCCTGTGGATGCTGAATAAGACGTTATGTTGCGTATAAATGAATAAAGGTTACGTTACGTATAAGTCAGCGAAACATTCCTGTCTCGGATGTCGCGTGTCATGCTTTCCCCTTCAACTGGTAGCCTCGCTTAATATGAAGCACAGAGGTCCCGGTGACTTCCACGTAAGATTTCGTAACATAACGTAGCGTAAAATAAGAAAATGGGGCAGTGTGAATGAGCCTTTACTCCCCTGCGGGACCTGTCATGGACCAGTCGGGCGATCGCACGCAACCACTCCTACTCCACGAGGGTGCGTTTGGCGGCTCTCATGCGGTGTGCATCCTCGCAGAATTCCACAATTTAGAGAATCCGCTCTTCGCTGGTCGTCCAGGGAGGTCAACAGCGGTCCAGGCCAGGGCGCTGCAGCAGCACATGAAGGACGTCCTCGCTTGACGGCTCGCACAGTGGGCTGGCCGTCTTGTTGCCCCCGAAGAGTTGGGCACGTCAGTAGTTTGTCATGAGTGCTTGTATACCCGAGTCTGAAAGAGTAAAGCGCTTTCATGGTCCCCTCGATAGTGTCTGCAGGGAGACGGCTGTAACTAGTGATGCACATAGATGCTCTGGAGTCTCTGGTTTCTTCACACCCCTGTCTCGAGGCCTAAAGTGCAATCTCGTTCACCTCCTCTGTTTCTGCTTTGAGTCATCCTTTCTTCGAGGTGGCCTCATGTTGCTTTGTCTCTTTGCAGTGTATAGAGTCCAATCTGGCGATGATGTTATATCAGTTTTTCCTGTTGTTGCGGTATTTAACGTAGTAGAACGTCCATTTTGGGGGGCTAGGATTCGCTTGGCATTTCGATCAGGCACTCGAAGTACTCAAGCTTGGCCCTTGAATCTCGTTGCTTGAAGGTCGACCAGGGGTCCCAACCTGTACATGAAGAAGAAGTCGGCGATAAATAGGGCGGTTGTGTTTGACCAACGCAGCACTTGACCTTGGCGCAGGCCAATCGAAGCTGCCGGATTTTTCGGCGACTTTTTTGCCAAGTGTCTAGATTAGGGCCCCAGGCCATCTTTTCTCTGACCGCCATGTTTACTGTAGCCCCATTTTCGCACAAAGCCCCCCTTCCGATTTCCACATGATAATGTCCAGGGTCTCCAGGGCGACCTGCTGGAAGGCCACAGCGTCATTTCCGTAAGGGACAGCCGGCCGGTACTGAGACACTCCTCCGCATTGATCTCGCAAGAGTGAAGTGGTTGAACGAGCACTTCGCCATGTTTCACAAGTGACCTTTTCACATGTTGGAGGTTTTAGTGTGCGTCTCTCGTACTCCAGGGATTGTCGTCCTTCTTATACTGTCACTGCCAGACACCTGTATTCCTTGGTGTGTTCTACTTTCACACCTTGTATTGTAAACATCGGTTATGCTGTTGACCGTTATATTAGTATGTCATTATATTAAGACATGACTTTACGTCAAAACTGCCGAGCCAGAAACGTTTGTGGGAGCTACGCGATGCCGGTAAACCCTCCATTGCCGAGTATGACGTCAGCATCGAGGTACATTAGTAAATGATCGTTCTCTAAGCGCTCACCAAGACGCGTTCGAACAGCGCGGATCCAGCACTTCGATAAAACGCGCGTGTCCGCTTCAATTGTGAACGGACACGTTGCTTTTGCTGATGCTTTCGTAGCTCAAACGTATCTTTTTGGACGTCGGCTCGCTCCCGCATCTCCAAGGTCACAAAAAACGTCACGGCGATTTGTTTCTATCTACGCCGCTTTGCGAACGAGCGGTGTGAGCCGTCGTCTTCAAGCAACTATGAGCATTGTGTTGGCTTGGTAGCGATGGAGCTCCTTG